ATTCGGAAATATTATATAATAAATAATATTTTAATTTATTGAAATATGAATAAAAATATTTATAGGATAATAATGACAATATATATTATATATAAATATTTTATTTGGAATTAATATATATATATATATATTGGACGTTATATATAATTATGATATATATAAAATTATTAATTATATATTTAATATTAATAATATTTATTATAGATTATATACACGAATAATATATAATATTACATTATTTTGTTTGTATTATATATATTTTAATATATATATATATTTTTAAATCTATATTTTTGTAAAGAAAATATCGAAGACGCTGTTTGATGGATAATTGTAGATAAATTAGATGGAATTAGGGCTTGAATAAATGCTATTTTAGTTCAAATTCTAATTTATCTTTGTCTGTAGGATGTGTGTTGCTCTTCGCGAGCGGCTTTTCCTTGGGATATATTTTTGTTAGTTATGACGGATTCGATTATGTATTTTACGGGATGCATTGATTTTCTTTTTGGTAAATCCGTCGTTGTGGGTTACCTTTGCTCGCGGAGTTAGCGGTTCTAGAGGGTTTCTTCGATCAACCTCATTGGCAGAAGCTCGCCTATTAAGCGGTTCCGGCCGCCCGGATAGGGCTTGTTTTAAAGTTGGCGAGGAAAATCGTGTTTGTCTAGGCGATTACGGGCGATAAAGGCGAGGGGGGGGAGAAAGGGATCATAAGACGGAATCATAAAAACCCATACCTTAACCTCATCATCAAGGAAAGACGATTTTAATCAATAATATCATAATTTTAAATACATCAAGAAAACATTAATTTCGATATTTCATTTCCATTTCTAACATTTGCTATTCCTTTTAAATTCCTTAAAATTATCACCCTTTCAATCTATATTTATTCCCGAAAAAAGAAGATCCTAATATCATAACGCGATATACCAATAATAAAATTACTATCCATCCCCCCTCCAACAATTTTTCTACGTAATCTAAATCAAAATCCATACCATTTCTTTTAAATCCAATCATATCGACCTCAAATAATCTAATTTCAATTTTACAATATTAGATTAATCAAATATCAATACAAATAAATCCAATATTTAACATATATATCAATATCTACAAAATCTTCAAATTCATTAATAATCCTAACATCTAAGAAGATACATAATTTACTTCAATAATTCATAATAACGTTCAAAAAAAAAAAACAATTATGCAATACAACCATTTCAATTATATCGAATAAATTTAACAATAATATACATATATTATTTACCCTATTTAACTTAAACATATATTCATGCCGGAATTTCCTTCAATAATTAAACATAAACATATATGTCTACAATTATATAGTAATAAACATTAATAAGAAGAAATATTAAAAATAACATATAATCATATCTCTTCATAGACTTAAATATTACCCCAAACTAAGAATACTCAACACCAAATATTCATCGAAGTAATCCACTTCGGAATAAAGCTGTCGGAGGGAGTTGTATTTCAAATCAATTCCAAGGAGGGGAAATGACATTCCAAGGAAGGGGGATAAGGGGTTAAATTAGATCCCGAGGAGCCCACACTTGCTTCGCAAAACAAACTCAAGATATCCCTTAAAGGGCTGGCTACCTTTCGTGATCACAATAATATATATATATGTATGTATGTAACTAATAAATATATTCAATTTCCATCCATTTCTGTCCTTTCCCTTCGTTTCCCTTCCTGTCTTCTGTCCTTCTGTGCGCCATATATTCCAGCCACTTGAAACAGCAAAGAATCTAGAAAGTTGCCACTGCAAAAGAGAACCAAAATGCCAAGAAGCCACCGAGCCAAAGGCCAAACGCAAAACGCCTAGAGCCCGAACCAACCAAAAAATACACAAAGACTTATTTAAATGCATTACACATCCCAGAAACATTTATACTTAGTCCTTTTGCAAAATATTAATGATGTTCTTCTGATGGGACGATTGCTGACTGAATGTCGTTCCGCAATCGACCCAGCTTTCGATTTGTGAAACGCAATGCCATGAAAAGACAAATCTTCTATTGACATGCATGCATATATGATGAAACCATCCACATACAAGCCTTCTTCAGGCAAAATGTGCTTTGACAAATGATCAATTGCAAATAACATCAAATGACAGGTTGGCCACACCCGGTTCATGGCAGTGAGTGTGACAATGTTGTCTCATTCGGTGTTCTTTACTTGAAATTATGGAAGTGAACGGTGCCACTCGCGGGTTTGGCCCTGCTTCTACTCTTCAACCTGCACAGTCACACGGCCCAACAAAGTGTACCGGATGATCTCAATGTCTGAAACAGGCCCGATGCAAAAAAAAATAAACAAAAGCAGGATGCCAAAGCGGAGCAAACAAATGGCTTGATCCGGCCTTTGAGAAGCCTGCAATGACATGCTCGCTGGTTGTGATCTGAGTGGACGTGGCCAGGTGTCCACCGTGTTCACCCCACTGTTCAGCAGGTGCACTTCGTCACCAGGTGTTTGTTTATCTTTGCTCAACATCCGTCATTCCCAAGCTTGGATGGGAGGGTTGGTGGTCCTGGATCATATTGCCTCACCCCCAATGAGTACAGCGCTTCAGAGTACCCCAGGACAAAACAGCACCAGTAACCAAAATGACGCTGAAGCAGCATGAGCTGCAAACCACAACCCAGCAGGAGCCGAATGCAAACAGGAGACGACCGAGGCAGCGATGTCGGCAGGGAAGCTTGAAGGGCAGCACAGGCCCTTTTTAGTCAAAACATATCACTGAACGACTGGAAGGGCACTTAATTTCATCGCAATGAAACCAACACGTGTGGGCAGTTGGCGAGCACAAATGTTTCTTGCTTCAGTAAAGATCCTGGAAGCGGAGGCAAAGGTTCAACAAAGCCCGCGGTGGTATGAAGAAAGACATGAATCCTCATGCAGGGAAAAGGATCCCTAAGACCGGGCCAAGGCGGCAAAAACGTTCTGGCATTCCAACCCCTGAGTTAGCCCCATTCTGATTATGGTGAATCTGCAGCTTGGTCTGACAGCCTTCGACTTCTTGTGCACCGTTCATGACATGAGCGAAAGCTCAAGCAGCTGGATCTGATGAACAGTCGGGGGCTCTCAATCTTCGACTGTGGCACCCAACCGTAGAGTTGAAGCCCAGTGGTTGAAGATCCATCTTGGTAAACCTGGAACTGAACGGACTGAAGCGACTGAAGCGACTGATTGTGGTTTTAAGGGAAGGTTCGGGGACGGGTTACGTATATATACATAGATGATGAAATGTGGAATGGCGCTTGCGGCTTCATACAAAGGACATGGGAGACGAAGGCCTTTCAACAGCCTCTGAGCTTCGGTGATTCTAAGGGAAACAGCCTCTCGGGTTCCCGGCTGCGAGCTAAAATTCTGTTCGGGAGTCAGCCTTGGCGCAAAAAACAGCTACTACTTAGGATTCATTTGGTTCCTAGACTTTTTGGGAAACTTAACATACTTTAAGCATTTTAATCTGCCTGGCCTCAAACTCCGATTTTCTGAAAACGCCAAACCCAAGAGGCGTGAGCATCATCCACTACATCAACAATAAAGACTCTGATGGCAACAAAAGCTGAGGATGTCAAATTTGGAACCCATATGAACCTCGTGACATCATTGTGGGCAGCTCAATGTTTGAACGCATGAGCCGCCCTGAGCAGAATCGCATCCAAGTGACTGAGGATCAATGGGTGGAAAATTAGGGAAGATCCTCTGTGGCTCCTGAGAAATCTGGAGCATGCAGGCAGCACGTGCGTGCTGCGATCACTATGAGGAATGCCCCTAGTTTAGCAAAAGGCAACACCCTACATTTTCTTTAAATGAACAGGTGTGGACTGTTCCCTCTGCATCGCCCTGACACAGCATTCTGAGCATTGAAGAGTGCTGGTGCTTGAGACCCTCCCACACATGAAGCATCCTGAGATCTGTGTGGGGCAGGTCACATCCTCTCCTTGCGGTAGACCTTGTGAAAGTCAACTTGTTCAAACCACCTGTGCTCCTGGCAAGGTTCAGCAGCTCTCTCACAGCCACCGCCACCCGCCACACCCAAGTCTGGAAAATACTGACCACATGCTTCATTTGTTTGCTGTTCGCAAGCATATACATTCCATGAGAGAAACTCTTGGAAAAGGAAGTCAAACTACCGGATATATAATCACATATACTAGACACTTTGATGTTCAAAAGCTAGTATACCAGTATACTACTCAGTATACCATTACTTGGACACTGTACTTCTGCCATCTTAAGTCTTACTGTAAATCATCCCTTTCATGTTCTTTTCGCATTGGGCATCTTGCCCTGTGCATGATGCAGTCCACCTTCACTTCGAGAGCTTGGCCCTTGGATCCGAGGCGCTCAGCAGGATCTGCCTGGTGATTTGCGGATTTCTCGGTGCTTGAACGTTGGATATCACGCATATACAACATCAAGCGATTTGTCAGCACCAAACAGCCATCATACTGGCACAAGAAATGCATGAACACGAAGTAGAATAAACAATTGCCAACAGTCTTTCACAATTTATGGTAGAGTCAAATGATTGACATGATCTTACATCTCTCACCTATCTGTTGCCTCTCAAGTCTCACTCAAATGATCAGGGCCTCCAACAAGCGCTGGCACAGGTCCGCGGCCGCTGGGGAGAGATGCTTGGGCACCTGTGCTGCGATGCGCTCACTCAGCCAAGCGACTGGAAGCAACGTTGCTTCAACTTTCTTAAGACTGGTTGTACGTCTAAAGACCCAAAGAGTTCACACAGGGCGAGTGAGTGTGCGACTGTGGTTGCAAATCGTGCGAGGTTTTTCGGTTGACAGTGCACTCTGGAACCTCTGGGAGGCGAAGAATGTGCAAAGCCACCAGGGGGAACAATCTCCAGTGGAGATTAAATTCTGAATGTCTTCCCATAAATCACCCGGACTGGTTCCTCACCAAGACTTTCAAGAACAACCAGCTAGGTTGCCCAGTCAACCCAGCCACCCGGCCTCGAAGGCCTCACCCTTGGCCCGGCGGGCGCACATCTGGCCAAGATGGACATGGCGCAAGACCCTCTGGGTCACTTCGAATCATTTCTTATATAGCCCTTTACCATCCTTTGCCAATTCTTTCTCACAAATGTGAATGATACAAATTCATCTCTCAAGCTGTGCTTCATTGTTCGGTACTTGAAGTCGAGAAAAAGAACAAAAGAAAACAAAGAAAGGATAACAAGAAGGTGAGGGCCGTTTGAACAGGGGTTCCTTCTCTAGAAAATCACACGCCTCTTAGAGACCTCTCCCTTGCACCCAGCTCTGATCCACCCCAGCACATTCAACACACCACGGAAATGCACGACAAATTGCAACTGTTGCAATGTTATGGGATGGCTGGTAGTTAAACATCTCACCATGTCAGGCCCACTTGGTTCACGTCACCAGTGAAGTGTGGCAGCTTGCCAGTGAGCAGCACATACCTGGCAACACTAAGCCAGGGCTGCGGATCCTATCCAGAATTTGCTCCAGTTGTCCCAATCCACTGTTGGTTTCGAGGGGCACAAGAGGCAGCCCAAGCAGTAGAAGTCCAGCGCAAGGCCATGACCTTCTCGTCGGATCATCTCGGGGGACAAGTACAACACGGTGCCTGCCGAAGCGATGGCAAAGCGATGGCTCAAGTTCTTGCGGGTTTGCCAACGATTTTCCACGCAAATGATGATGCTAGCTTTAACTCATGGAAGCCAAACACACGATGACACAAGGTCACACTTTCATCACGTCCCAAAATCACCTGGAGCCAGAAACACTTGACATCTTACTTGCAGTTTCAAGAACTGACTAACTTACAAGTACTCGGGCTTTGAAGATGAAGCTATAAGCAGTTTGAAAGAAGTAGTAAGGATCAACACAAGTGCTTGTTAACATTTGAGAGAGATCGTAGCCAGTTCCACAAGGGCATGACTTGACTTGGTGATCCAAAGTTCGACACCTACGAAGGACTGGAAGAGAGCGGACTGCGTGAGATTCTCCTGGCACAGGACAACATCTCGTTGAAGCACGGAGTCTTAACTGGTGGGTCTTTTGAGTATGAAGCTTGGCCCCGACTTCTTTTTACAGATCTTAAAGTGCCTCATGGTCCTTTATGACTCCGGAGGGTTATCTGGACCAGTCTGGACCCTTCGGCCCTTTAGACATGATAACCAAACAACCCGTTCCGTCCCGCCTTTGACAGCCCGAAATCTGTGAGACGTATATGTCCTGCAGGGGAGCTTTGCACATCACTGGCAAGCTGAATTTCAAGGACTTCGTTAAGATCAACTCAGCAAAGGCAACTTTTGACTTTGAGAAGCAAACGAAGCAACAGAAAGATGTACCCTGCAGTGTTCAGGAAGAGGAGTCTTCTGCTTCGACCTTACTGGTCTGATATTTGGCTGATATACATTGATTTGCTAGATTTTGCTAGGACATATTGAATCCTAACTTGTGCCAAAGGGACAACCCGACTCCAGCTTTCAACCAAATACTATACCCTGTAGCCACACTTGCAAGCGATCGATTGGATAGATCGTTGAATCAGCAGTTCTGAAATGCATACTGAAGCTGCAAGTAGCACACTGCTGGATTCACATTGCATTCCTCCAGAATCCAGAAGGCAATTCTCAGGCTTGAGATCCCGATACAAGATCCCCTGGGCGCAAGCTGGAGCACTTCTTGGTTCAAGAACCATGCAGCATTTCCAAAATTATCCAACAAGCCTTGGTTCAAACTCTCAATGCCAATTTATGTCCTTTAGGATTAAACACATAACATGCGAAATGCTAAAGCAGGCCCGTGACCATAGACGCTAGGCCCCTAAGCAGCCAGCCTGAGAGTGAAGGTACTCGAGGCCCAAAAGTATCTCGCTGATATAGAACCTGCAGTCTTACTACTAGGAACAGTAAGCTACTAGTGGCTCCTGGCATCGCTCTTAGGAGCAAGAATGCTACTATTGGCTCCTGGCCTTACTACTAGGAACAAGAACTACTAGGGGCGGAGAATTTCTGCACCAAAGCTGGTGGCTTTGCTGGACGGTCCAGCCAGCCTGGTGTCCATCTCAGAGAACTGCCCGCGCCGGTCCAAATGATAGAACAGCTCTCCGCCTGGCCATGCTGGTCACCACTGATCTGGATTAGCCATTGTTGTTTGTCTGGTGTGGTTCAAGGAGAAACATAGGCATAGAAGCAAGAGAATCAATAGAAGCAGAATGGAGGACACTTGAATTTCTTAGTTTCAACATGCTTCAATGCTTCAACCGTGTGTATGGACATGCTTCAGGTTGTGGAGAAGTGTCATCTGTATTGAAACTAAAGCATAGTAGGTAGATACCTCGAAGTGCAACCGGATGCCTAACAGAATCTAGCATCATCATACATGTGTGGCTCCATGATGAGAAATATGGAAGAATCCATCAGCAAAAGAAAGAAGTCCCTCCCTGACAATCCATCAGCAAAGCGGACTCATTTTGAACCAGCTGCGGACACTTTGCGTGCAAGCGCGACTCAGAGGGTCTGCTTTTTCTGTGTCTGACAAAACAAGAGCTTTGCTGGATCCAGTCAAACAAGAGTAGGCAGCAAAAACACAGGACTATGCTAGGTTAGGATGGTTAAAGTTAACGGTTTAAGTTAATTCGAGTCAGCGCAAAAGCTGCAGTTCAAGGAAACTGGATCCCACGACACCATGAAGAACTTCTTTGAGCTCAAGCGAAATCGATTATTAAACCAACAAAGCCGTGGATACCAGCCAAACTAAACCAGCTAGCAAGAGCTGCAGTTCGGTTTGCAATAAAGTAGGCCCAGTAACGCTCAGTACCACTATCGGTCACAAAGTTAACAGATGTCAACAAACATAAGCATAGACAAACCGTGCATGCTACGAACAACAAGTACGAGGCCATACTACAATAAGACTCCAAACCACTTCCGTTCCAAACAGTGCTGGAACAATGCTTCCAGTTTGAAACTCTGGGAGGAGCCTTCCTTTGAAATTCCTATCCGCTGTTTCCCATAGCAGTTTGCAGGCCATGTTGCACCAAACACGCTGGCTCTCGCTTGCTTTTACTCAAGGTGTTCCCAGTGAAGGCCATCTCTCCAGGGCACAGGGCCAGTAAAGTAGATCACCACTGGTGAAGCTCCCTACTGCAGCGATGGCGCTGGGTCCGGCAGCCCGCCTTTAGGGGGCCAGGCTTTCGTCTACGGGGGCACCTCTAGCAGGCCTCACATCATCTCGCAGCCAGAAGAACTGCCACGGTGACGGGCCCTAAGGTATGCGGGGATGACGTGCTAAAGTCCGTTTTAAGCTTTCAATAGCCACTTTGATTATCCCAACATGAAAGATCATGCGAAGTGCGTGCTGCGTGCTTCAAAGTATATCTGCCGGGCTTGAGTGTCAAGCCGCTGAGTTTCCAGCCGTATGGTGTCCAAGTCGTCACTCATGGGCTCAGGCATGTCATCCCGTAAGATCCTCCGTATCGAAAAAACTTGGCACGTATCGGTGACGTGAAAGTGAACAGGGCGCGACAAACACCGAACGTCATACTGTCCTTGTGTGGTCCAAGGTGCCCACCAGCGAGAAGCGGGAGCCCTTTGGAGGACCCTTGCGAGTGGAGCAGCTCTTGATTTGTGTTATGCTTGGAGCTCATCGGCGGAAATTGACCTTGAGCAACTTTCGCACTACTGACTAATTACTGGTTTTGTACGGGAATTTGCTGGCATCCTTGATATGTTCATCGCCATGGCCTGTGGAAGAGCAAGCAAGTGCTTCGACCTGTCACGTCTTATCAGATTTTGTTGCCATCAACACTCACATGCTTGAGGATTGTGGGAGCCAGGATCTGGAGGTCAAGCAGTTGTATAAGTATTGTATAAGTATTTGGGTTCGGAGCTGGTCTTGCAACTGCGAATGTATTAGTGCTTTCGACATCCGCAACAACCAAATAAACATGCAAAGCGCCACATTGCTGGAGTCACCATGAAGTCCGCTGGCATTGTAGAGTAGCACCTCGAGTTCATGTACCAGTTCTTTCACACTACAAACTGACAAACTGCTCTATATATTTCTCTCCCTGAAAGTGCAACATGCCAATTTCCGCCAATTTCCAACGATAATGCACTTGCTTTGTTGGTGAGGGGAACTCCACCTGAAAAGCATGAATAATCAAAGCTTGCGGCTTGCGCCCCTCCAAGTCAGTGCTTGTGATCTGTGTCTGAATGGAATATATGGGGTCACACATGGCTGTCACTAAGTGCTAGCTGCTGCTGCACTATGTTGCCAGCAGCGAATGAATTGTGTCAGAATAAACATATGCTCAAAACATCTCAAAACTCAAAACGTATTCTGCCAATGTCCGCAGCCTCCGCAGAGACTGACCGTGAATTCACAACCGTCAAATTGTGGGGGCGGAAGAAGGCAACCTTGTGAATGCAATCACTGAGCGCAGCCACCGGATCACGAGTCGATCGCATTCAGTGTCCTCCGGCATTTCGACGACGACTTTGAAGCCACCTGTCAGCCAATCATGGACAGCCAGGAGTTCTCTCAAAGTAACAAACAAACAGCTTTTGGAGTTTGGTCTTGGCATTCACTACCTTCCACTACGAGCAGCCTAGCTGAAGCAAAATTCCACGAGCAAAGCGCACATTGAAACGAATGGTGTCCATGAGAGTCTTCTGTCGCCTGCTGAAGCCGTCTGAAAGGCAACCTCAGCTTGCATCCCTGAGACTTGATTGGAGACCCAGGGCATGCGCTGTGGACCGTTGCCCTCAAGGAATCTCAAGGACACATAGCTCCTACCCTTTCTGCATTTGTCTAGTTGACGACGAATGAGTCTTTGTGCCTCGAGGTTGTTTAGAGCCTACATTTGCAAGATTGGAAGAGGTCACGTGAACATGGATCCTCTGTCATTTGGACATGTACAAGCACCAAATAAGAACCACAGCACAGTGATTATATACATACTTCTACCGATTTCCTGTGGCATTCCTGCTCCACCCCCCCACAAGTCAAGTCAATCAATCCTCATGTGACTAGCGGTGCATAGCATCTGGGCCACACCAGCTTTCCCTCCTTTGCTGCTTTATGTGCTTTGGCTGAGCTTCAAACCATGGCGTCGCGAGTGGGAATCCAGTTTGATCGGCAAACCATGTTGGCGCTATAGACATTACCTGTACCTCAGGAGAAGACTGCGTCTGAACGAACTCCCTTCCATTGGTCCATTGTGACTTGTGCTCTGAGAGTAACGCCTAAGCTCTCATAGACCTTCAGGATGATGGGCACATAAGGCTTTCTCTGGCCGACCTGATAATGATTGTGCTGCATGGCGACATACCTCTCCTTGGTGAGTTTGAGGGTCAAAACTACTAAGTAGATCTTCGCTGAAGTTGTGGAACCAACAAAGGTATCCTGTCCCGGCACAACTCCCTTAAACCCAATGCTCCTCGTGATCATGCTTTCAACTCGGCGCAACTCAGTTCAAATTCCAATTCAGTCATTAGCATCTATTAGGCCATCGCTATGAGGCTGGAGGCCATCGCTATCAGGGTGGAGCCTCGAGGTTGTCTAGAGACTTCAATCGTCTCATTAGCAT